ACAACAGGTGTTGGCAAGGATGTGGAGAAAAAGGAACCCTCTTATAACGTTGGTGGGGATGCAAACAGTGCAGCCACTGTGGGTGGCTCAAAAAGTATAGAGGTTCCTCAGAAAGTTAAAAATAGAACTACCATAAGATCCAGCAATCACACTACTGGGTATTTACTCAAGGAATATAAAAACACTAATTCAAAGGGACACATGCATCCCCATGTTTATAGCAGCATTATTTACAAGAGCCAAGATATGGAAGCAGCCCATGCCCATCGATTGATGAATGGATAAAGATGTGGTATATATATACAATAGAATATTATTTAGCCATAAAAAAGAATGAAATCTTAAAAAAAAAGAATTCTTGCCATTTGCAATGACACGGATGGATCTAGATGTATAATGCTAAGTGAAATGTCAGAGCAAGATAAATACCATATGATTTCACATGTGGAGTTTAAGAAACAAATGAGTAAAGGGGAAAAAAAAGAGGGAGAGAGACAAATCAAGAAACAGACTCTTAACTCTAGAGAACAAACTGATGGTTACCAGAGGGGAGGGTGGGGGATGGGTGAAATAGGTGATAGGGATTCAGGAGTGTGTGTCTCATGACGAGCACCAGGTGATTAAAATAAAAACTTAATAAAATAAAATAAAAATTGGAGTATTTATTTTTTATTGTGGAGTTGTAAGAATTCATTATATATTCTGAATATCAGACCTTTATCACATATATGATGTGCAAATATTTTCTCCCATTCTGTGGATTGTTTTCACTTATAGCAGCTTCATTGAGATAAAAATATGCCATACAATTCACCATTAAAGTGTAAAATTTAATTATTTTTAGTATATTCACAGAGTTGAACAACCATCACCCTCATTTCCTTGATAGTGTCCTTTGAAGTACAAAAGTTATTAATTTTGATGAAAACCAATTTATCAATCTTTTCTTTTCTTGCTTGTGTTTTTGGTGTCATTCATATTTAAGAAACCAATGCCTAACACAATACCATCAAGATTTACTTCAACATTTTCTTCTAAGACTTTCCTAGTTTTAGCTCTTACATTTAGGTCTATGATCCCTTTTGAGTTAAAATTTTGAAATCAGAATGTGTTAGTCTTCCAACTTTGTTCTTTTGCAAGATTGTTTTGCTTATCTGGGTCTCTTACATTTTCATATGAATCTTAAGAAACTTAAAAGTAAGAAACATAGAGAAAGAAATTTCTGAATCATCGTCTAAGGTGGCTGCATCATTTTTATTCCCTCCCCACCCGCCCCACCAGCAGTGAATAAGAGTTCCTTTGCTCTGCAACCTCACCAGCATTTGATATTGTCAGTTCTTTGGATTTTAGCCATGTTAATAGGTGTGTAGTGTTATCTCATAACTTTCAAAATTTGCCTTCCCTAATGATTGTGAACATCTCTTCATATGCTTATTTGTTGTGTGTATATTTTCTTTGGTAAGTTGTCTTATGTAAGTTTGTTTGTTTTTTTAAGATTTGATTTACTTGGTGTGCCTGGGTGACTCAGTCGGTTAAGTGTCTGCCTTCAGCTCAGGTCATGATCCCAGGGTCCTGGGATCGAGCCCCACATCGGGCTCCTTGCTCAGCGGGGAGCCTGCTTCTCCCTCTCCCTCTGCTTGCTGCTCTGCCTGCTTGTGCTATCTCTCGGTCAAATAAATGAATAAAATTTAAAAAAATTTATTTACTTATTTGACAGACAGACACAGTGAGAGAAGAAACACAAGCAAGGGGAATGAGAGAGGGAGAAGCAGTCTTCCCACTGAGCAGGGAGCCCCACATGGAGCTCGATCCCAGGACATTGGAATCATGACCTGAGCCAAAGGCAGATGCTTAACAACTGAGCCACCCAGGTGCCCCTTATGTAAGATTTTTGCCCATTTTTTTCATTGGGTTGTTTTCTTATTGTTGATTTTTAAGAGTTCTTGTATATTTTGCATTCAAGTCCGCTATCAGATATGAGTTTTGCAGGTATTTTCTCTCAGTTGGGAGCTTGCTTTTTCATTCACTTAATTGCCAAATATTTAAAAAAACAAAAAGCAAACAAACCCTTTGGTAAGCTTTAACAATGCACCTGCTTAAAAAACATCAAAGGGTACCCATTTAAGTTTGTTGTTTTGTAAATTACTAAAGGGACTCTCTGGAAAGATCTAGGGCCAAGTAAAGATGTGTATTTGGATTTCAGACCCCATCCATCCCTTTGACTGGTGCCCTTGTGCAAGCCACAAACTGCATAATCACATTGTAACAACCCCATTGATCTTAAGTGTATCCTTAATACACTTACAGAACCTTCCATGATAGGCTCTCCCTATTTTCTTGCCACATCTCATCCTTCTATCCTTTCTGTCTATACCCACAAAAGCCTTATCGAAACAACTTCAAAAGGCTTTGCTTCCAGCCTCAAGATTTTCATAGCCAGTGTGGCAGGCTGACTTTTAAGACCCGCAGTGACCCTCACCTCTTGGTATTCATGACCCTGTATGGTCTCCTCCCATTGAGAGTAGGCTGAACCTTGTGACTTGCTTCTAAAGAACAGAATACAGCAAACTGATGGAATGGCAGTTCCAGTAGTAGGTAAATTACTAACTTCTGTCTTGCACACTTTCTCTTCCTTTCTTACTTGTTCACTCTGACGAAGCCTACTGATTTATTGTAAGCTACTGAGGCACAGGCTCATATAGCAGGGAAAAGAAGGAGGCTTTGGGCCAGTAGCTTCTGAGGGGCTGCAGCCTCAGTCCAATAGTCTATGAGGAATTTAATCCTGCCAACAACCACTTGAGTCATTTTGAAAGCAGATCAAACCCCAGTTGAGCCTTCAGATGACTTCAGCCCTGGTTGACACATTGGTTGAAACCTTTATGAGAGACCAGGAGTCAGAAGATTCAAGCTAAGCTGCACACCAATGCCTGACCCACAGAAACTGTGAGATAATAAATGTTACTGTTTTAAGCCGCTGTTTTGGGGTAATTTGTTTCACAGCAATAGATTAATATGGTTAGGAGCATTCCCCTCCTCACTTTCTACCACTCTAATCCCATGTGTCTTCAAGTCTCAGATTTATTTACTTACTTATTTTTTAAGTAGGCTCCAGGCTGGGCATGGATGTGGAGATTGAACTCACAATCCTGAGATCAAGACATGAGCTGAAATCAAGTTGGATGCTTAACCAACTGAGCCATGCAGGCTCAGTTGGTTATTATTTTTTTTAAGATTTTATTATTTTTTTAAGATTTTTTTTTAAGATTTTATTTTTTAAAATAATCACTACAACCGGGCACCTGGGTGGCTCAGATGGTTAAGCGTCTGCCTTCAGCTCAGGTCATGATCCCAGGGTCCTGGGATCGAGTCCCGCATCGGGCTCCCTGCTCCTTGGGAGCCTGCTTCTCCCTCTGCTTCTCTCTCTCTCTCCCTCTCTCTTTCTCCCTCTGTCTCTCATGAATAAATAAATAAAATCTTAAAAAAAAATAAAATAATCACTACAACCAACGTGGGGCTCGAATTCACAACCCTGAGATCAAGAGTCACAGGCTCCACTGACTGAGCCAGCTGGGCGCCCCTCAAGTCTCAGATTTAAATGTCACTTCCTGAGGGGTGAACTCTCTTCCCCCTGCCCATCCTGCACACCCCAGCAAGTCTCTGGTTCCACACTCTTGGCGTTCTCTCCTTCTCTTATGCAGCATTCATCACCACTGCAATTAGTTCATTATCATGGTATTTGCTTCCCATCTGTTACTCCCTAAGACTTGTCAGTTCCAAGTCAGAGCTGGCTGTATTTTTTCTACACTGAATTCCTAGCACCAAACATGGTGCCCAGCACAGAGTGGGGATATACTAATTATAGAATGAAAAAATGAATAAGCAAATGAAGGAATTAGTAAATGAAGTATCCCAAAGCCTTGCCGTTCAGAAAGGAGGTAGAGAAAAGCCCAGTGCCCTAGTAAAGATAGTTATAAAAGTCTCATAATTCTCGGGCTTTATTTTAAAATATCAAAAAATAAAAACAAAAACCAAAAATAAAACCATGTCAACATATTCTAGATAGAGATTTGTTATGACAGAGTACATTATAACCAAATTCTCTACATAAATTAAAAGTCCAACAAAGGTTAGCTCATAGTACATGATTTTGATAAAAACTTTGCAGTTTTATTTTTGTATTTTTTTTTAAGATTTTGTTTACTTATTTGAGAGAGAGACAGAGACAGAAAGAGCATGAGCAGGGGGAGCGGCAGGCAGAGGGAGAAGCAGACTCTCTGCGGAGCAGGGAGCCCGGCATGGGACTTGACCCCAGGATCCTGGGATCATGACCTGAACTGTAGACAGCTGCTTAACCAACTGAGCCATCCAGGCGCCCCTCCTTAGTGATTCTTAATCATCACCTCCTGCCAAGTAACATCCAACTCACTCCGTAGCTGGACATTCAGCTGTCCTTTCCAGCCTGCTCCTCGACTGCTCCCTTTGCAGGCATCATGCTCCTGCCTTTCCTCAGTCACAGGGCATATTTTTTCATCTCTGGGCCTTTGCACATGTTCTTCCTCTCCCTGGAAGTCCCCCTTTAGTGCCAACCGATCCCCCCCAAAGCCAAATTCAAGTCCAAATGCTCCTGGTCCCCCTAGAAGTGATTGCTCTTCTGCTCTGTCCTCTTAGGGCCTTGGTTTTTACCTCTTTTATGGCTTCTAACACATTCAATATTGTCTTGTGAGCAGGTGTGTATTTTGTTTATCTTCTCCACTACCCACATCTGAGGATATGATGGTCTCTGTCCTGATGAACCCTTTTCCCTACATAACCCAGCACACGGCTTTGGATGGACCAGAGGCTTAATACATGTTTGTCGTTGAATGGGTAAATGAAAGAATGAATGAAACATATATGCTAAAAGGCTTTTAAATGAATCATATATACTTTATATCTCAATGCCAATAATAACATAGCCATAGAAAAACATTTCATTTTAAAAACATTTTAATTTCCCTTTTTATAAAATTTAGTTTTCAAAAGTCCCAAATATACTCTCTCATACAGTAAAAATGAACTTAGGAACAAATACACAGGATGTTTCTTCACTAGTCCATTGAACACTGGTTAAATGTCCTAATATATTACTCTGAATAGTCACAGAGAAGCCAAGGAGGTAAATAAATAACACAGCAAACTAGTAAATACAGGAAAATGAGTTTTTCAAAAGCTTTCTGGGATTCTTTAATTGTCTACTGTTGAACTTTTAACAAAATAATTTGAATTTAAAAAGTTTAATAATAATAAATATTAGTCCTATATAAAGTGATTAAGTCAAAGTAGTTTACTTCAAATACAGAGACTTAATTACAGAAATGGAATGTACCCGATTGTTTAGGGAATGTTGTTTGAGAGGACAGTGTTCTCATGACTAAGTTCAGTGTATCCTGGATCTTCATGTTATTTCTTTCTATCAGGGAAGAATGTCTCCCATCCGGTTTCGTGTTTTCTTCTGGTTCAAGGGGGAGAAGTGTATGGGGGTTGAACAGACACCGAGGCTCCCCCAAGATGCCAACTCTGTGAAAAGAATTACTGGTATAGCTGAAGCAATAAGGCCAAAGAAGAAGGTGTATGGTTCTGGCTGTGCGTGCATGTGTGTGTATGTGTGTGTACACACCAAAGCTGCGTGCGCGCGCACACACACACACACACACCTATATATATATATTTTTTTCTTTTTAAGTTTTCCCTGTTTCCATGAACCCCCATTGTGGTCTTAAGTGTGGGTCCAAAAACTCAGCCCACAGTAAGATTTTGTAACTGGCCTTCCCACATTTCCCAGAGGTAGTTCTTCTAATGGAGAAACTTCAGCCTTATAAAGTTGGCTACTCCCTCCTCCAAATTAGAACTCTTTGAAGTCTAGCATAACTTTCTAGCAGTGTTTTCTAGTCTGGCCAGGTGTACCAAGAGATGCTTGGGAAAGGAAACAGGTGGAGCGGAGGGGGGTGGGTAGGAAGGCAGCTTTCATCTTCGTTCAACTTTCTGGACAAGGCATGGTGTCTGAGCCCCTGCGCCTCCTGGCCCAACCTAGGACATGACCCGAGGCTCCCCTTTCTCTCTCCTTGGGCCACTTACGTTGGCATGGGCACAGAGCCCAGACTGTCCATGTGCTCTTGCCTCGGGGCTGGGAGTCTGATGCCTCCTTGATGATTCTTTTTCTCAAAGACATTCTGAGCTTTTTCTCTGAGAGACGGCAGCAGAGTAGACATGACTGGAGAGCGCATGTTGATGGCTTTTTTAATCGCTGGGCGTTTTGCCATCATTCTCCTGGGGTGGGGAGGGGTGACATTTAGGTTACATCATCCTGTTTTCTAGAAATATCCCTGAGCTTTGGAAAGTCAAAAGGTCATACCTGAATTGTACAAAAGTCATGTGTTTCTTTCCCCCCGATTCTTCATCCTCACGCTTCCTCCGAGGAATGTTGAACATATTGGTACGAAAGAGCCTCCCTATTTCTTCCTCAATCTCTGTGAAGTGTTGACGTCGGAAGACAATCCAAGCTACATATGTACAGAAAGTATAAAAGGACTACGACAGAAAACAGACAAGAATCACGACCCACGGCTATGATAGTAAAAACTCCCACCTGTCTATATAACGCTGCTAATCAGACGCAAACCCAGATGACCCCATTTCTCCACATTCCTGAAAAGCTGTGGAAAATTACACACGTACTCACATTTGCAGGAGGAAAATGAGACCAAAAATTTAAGATATGGCATACAGCTTGTTAGCAACCTTTTAAGAAAAGATATTCACTAAAAATAAGTACCTAACAAATGGCTATTGGTTACTGGTATACTTCATGTTTCATTCAAAAGAGAAAAGCCCCAAAGACTCACCTCAAAGAATTTCCAGTCTTTCTGTGTATCTGATATTTTCTCCCTGCAATATAACAAATCACAACTACAGGTTGAGAGGGAAGTTCAATCTTTCAGTGATCTAGGCAAGCCCCTATCTTCAAAGGCCTCTTGGCAGGATCATTACCTGTGGCCCCAAGGCTATTTATTTATTTTTTAAGATTTTTTATTTTTTATTAGAGAGAGAGAGTACAAGCAGGGGGAGCGGCAGGTAGAGGGAGAGGGAGAAGCAGGCTACCCACTCGGCAGGGAGCCTGATGTGGGGCTCCATCCCAGGACCCTGGAATCGTGACCTGGGCCGAAGGCAGCCGCTTAACCGACTGAGCCACCCAGGCACCCCGGCCCCAAGGCTATTTAGCTACGTAAATGCGGTCAAAAGGCATTGATGAGTCCCGGTATCTTTTTCTTCAACTTCTCAGGTTATCCAGATCAAAACCCCTACTAGAGTGTTTGGTTAAAAGTTAATCAATATAAATTCAGGATACACAAGCCAGCAGGAAATGTATTCTTATGAACGTTTTTGGTGATGTGAGGGTTGGGGAGAAAGGGGAGTGGAAAGGTGGTAAAGAGGTAACATGGGGTGTTAGTAGGTAGGGAAATAGGAAACTAAAGGGAAGTCTACAATGGAGAAAAAGACAAAGAATAAACATCTTAAAAATCTTAGAAAGATTAAAAAAAATCTTTAAATAAAATCTGCAGTTCACTGGAGACAGCAGTGCGCTCTTCCTTCTAGATGTGGTATATACACTGAGCCTTGTCTCTTAAAGGCAGGCATCTGCTCAGGAGTCCTTGCAACACAAATTCAGTGTTAAGGATACTGTACCGGCATGGGCACACTTACTGAACTTGGCCCCCCTCCCCAACACATGCCATTCTAGTTCTGATTCCCAGCCTTAGGAGAGCTGCCATGGCCTGCGGAGGACTTGAGAACTGATGGAGAGGGCTATGCACCTGCAATCACTTGATCACTCAAGGGGGCCAAGGCTAGACCCAGGCACTCCAAGGCTGATCCTGGATGTGCTTCTGGTTTTGCTTGAGACTTCCTCTGAATAACAGACTCCCAGGATTGGCCCTTGTTATCAGGCTTTCAAGAACCATCCTGAACTCCAGTGGTCTGGGGAAGATGAACCAAACCCCTCAGGGACTTCATGATCTGTGTAGGCCCAAATTAGCCCTCCATTTGGGGGGAACACGGAAGCACTGGTTCAGCTTTTACTGGGGTGGATCCCTCCCTTCCTGCAGCCTCTTCATTCATACACTGGTTTCCTCGTGTGCAAGTCTTCAACAAGGAAGTAAGGCAATCATTACAGTGCTTATTTACTAAGTATGGACCCTGTGCCAAGTATGCTAAGCCCTTTACATGACCATATTTAGTCCTCATAAGATCTCTACGATGTAGTCAGCATTATTATTCCCACTTTACAGCTGAGGAGACTGAAGTTCAAAGACATGTAATTAGGGACAGAGTCTGTACTAAAACTTGGGCCTGTCAGATCTCCACATCTGTCCCTGCAACCAGAACGCTAGGAAAACAAGCTTTTCCTTTAGATTAGTTTGCAGATGGAAAACATTAAATTACAGGCCCAGCAGAAACTTTCAGGACAAGCCTCTGTTGTCCTTCTGTGCCACCTGCAGCCTCCACCTGACCAGAGTGCTTATGTGGCATTTCCCCTCTTCCATGGCCTCTACCAGCTGACACCAGACACCATGCAGACCTGCCAAGCTGAAGCAAAAACCAACCACACTCGGTATCTGGAATACCAAGTCAGCCTGCCTTCTGGGAGAAGATTTAGACCAGCACTTAGGGTTATACAACTCAAACCAGAGGTTTAATACAACTCAAACCAGCACCATCTTAGTGAGGTTTTGAAGTGACAGGGTGCACAGGAAACACACACTTTCTCCTCTCCTCTCTTTTCTTTCTTTCTCTTTTTAAAGACTTTATTTATTTATTTGAGAGAGAGAGAATGAGTGGTGGGGAGGGACAGGAGAGAGAGAGAGCAGCAGACTCCCTGCTGAGCAGGAAGTCCATGTGGGGCTGGATCCCGGGACACGGAGACCACGACCTGAGGGGAAGGCAGACACTCAACCCACTGACCACCCAGACGCCCCGCCTCTTTTCTTTTCTTATCTCTCTTTTTTTTTTTTAGAGAGAGAGAGTGCATGTGCACACTCCCAAGTGGGCATGAGGAGGGGTGGGGAGAGGGAGAGGGAAAGAGACAATATTAAGCAGGTTCCACACCCAGTGCAGAGCCCCATGTGGGGCTCTGTCTGATGACCCTGAGATCATAACCTGAGCTGAAATCAAGAGTCGGATGCTAAACTGACTGAGCCACCCAGGTGTCCCTCTCTCTTTTTTTTTTTTAAGTTTTATTTTATTTAAGTAATCTCTACACCTAACATGGGACTTCAACTCATGACCCCAAGATCAAGAGTCACATGCTCCTCCACCCGAGCCAGCCAGTTGCCTCTCCTCTCTTTTTAAACATTAGAAGAGAAGGTACCATGAACCTCTTCCCCTTCCCCTCAAGTTGCCATAAAAGGAGACTTCTTTCTCTCTTAAAGCCCAAAGCAAACTGAAGGAGCCTACCCCACCGAAATCAAGTACAGAAGGCAGTGGGTTTCTTCTTACCATTCTGATTTAGCTCTGCGTATGAACCTGAAATGAGTCAAGGAAATGGAGGCAGAGAATGAGCACATTTGGGAACCTCCTAGTTTAAATCTGCAAATTCCTCTCTTGGTGAATTTTGGGTCATTTTTCTTCTTTTTAATTTTACTTTATAATTTTTGTATTAAGTACATAATTATAAACTGACTATAAATTTAAAGATTCACTGAGCATCAATAACAAATTTAAACACTCCAAATTCAAATAGACTTTATAATAGCAAAATCCAATGGAAATATAATGTGAGCCACAAATGTAATTTTTGAATAAAATTTCTGGTGGCCACAGTAAAAAGAAACAGGTGAAATTAATTTTAATAATATACTTATTGTATCCAAACCCTGAAATATTATTTTAATATGTAGCCAACATTTTAGAATGATTAATGAGATATTTTGTTCATTTTTAAACTTGTTTGTATAGTGTATATTTTACATCTATATACATCTATAGTGTATATTTTACATCCATTTAAATATGGACCAGCTGCATTCCAAGTGCTCAATAGCCACATGTAGCAAGTGGCTACCATGCTAGTCAGCAAAAATGCTGTACATTTCACCTGTGAGGGCAAACTCCAAAGAAAAGGGGGGAAAGCCAACCTGGTGGTAAATCCAGAGATTTTCAGTGACCTACTATGAAGCTTTCTTCTCTCTCTTTTTTTTTTTAAAGATTTTATTTATTTTTGACAGAGAGAGAGAGAGTACAAGCAGGGGAAGCAGCAGGCAGAGGGAAAGGGAGAAGCAGGCTTCTGCGGAGCAGGGAGCCCAATGCGATGTGGGGCTCAATCCCAGGACCCTGGGATCATGACCTGAGCTGAAGGCAGACGCTTAACTGTCTGACCCACCCAGGTGCCCCTGTTATGATGCTTTCTTATTCCTTCTTGCTACATTAGACTCTTAGCTCTAAAACAAAATGAGGAAAGTATATCATATTTTATATTCCTGGGAAAAAAAAAGCCAGGCCCAAGGGGTCCTGAGGCCCTAGAGAAAAAAAGTTTGCTCCCACTTACCCCCTGCTGCTTTGGATGGAAATCAGGTTTAAATGGAGGTCAAGGCCTACTCTGCACAAAGGAACAGAATATCAAAGGGATGTGTTTGTGGGAGGGGAAAGAGGCCGTATTGACCGTGACTAGAAGGGTGGGGGTGGGGAATGGGGCTTAAGGATGATTTATAAAACTGAGTTTCAAAGAGACCCCTTTCTCTGTATGCTCATCCCTATGCCAGCCTCTCTGGTCACCCATCAGGCGACAGCTTGCACTGAGAGCAAAGGAGGAGGGTAGAAATCCTAGGATAGAGGCGGGGATGGAGCCCGAATTGGCCCGAAGAATAGATCTAATTCTATAGCATGTGCCATGAAGAGGTTTCCTTATCTATCCTGGAAAACACGGAGATCTTTTACTGAACACGTTCATCAAAATCGTGCCAAAGCTTTTGCGATATCAGGATTTTACAGATGTATTAAGAATAGAAAAGTATGTCCTCCTACTTTTCGAGAAACATGAAAGCACTAAATTAACTGCCCCCAAATTGCTGGTTCTTCTGAAATCTCTAATTTAACTCCAGAGACAAATAGCTTAAGGTGGTCCTAGTCCAATATTAAGTGTGCATATATTAGAAAAGTCAGAAAATACATGAGAATGTTCTCATGGGAATATTAACTTATTCACATTGGAAGTGAAAGAACGATATATTAAAATCAGGTAATCACTCCTAACTGGCAAAAAAACTGTCCTCACCTTCTAGATAAAAATAGCCAAAAGAACAATATAAACTCCATTCTAGGACATAATCAACGCCCATGGCCAATTAACAACGTTTATTGGCAAAAAACATGCTGTAATCTATTTTCCTTGATATCCTTTGTTCAGCTCTATGACCCGTATGGAATTTGCTATGTGAGTGGTGGGTGGTGAGCTCTAAACTGATTCTTTTCCAAACTGCTATCCAATAGGCAGGAGAAAAGCAGGTGATGTTGCATATAATGACAAAAAGACCAGCACCTCCTGGAGATGAGCCAGTACTAAACTGAGGCAATCCTTATCTTTCAAACACGATGAGTTCTTTAAAAGTTTGTAAAAATTACATCGTAATAAAAATGTACTGTTAAAAGCATAATAATGTAAGTGTACGTTCTATATCCAGAGAACTAAAAGATATAATAAAATCTTTAGTTATAATTACTCATAGTTTGGGTTTTTTAAATCTCAAAATTAGTCCGCACTGCACATGTGCTTTTATTTTTAATGTTTTTAAAGATTTATTTATTTGAGAGAGGGAGGGAGAGAGAGCGTGTGCACGCATGAGTGGAAGGGAGGCACAGAGGGAGAGGGAGAGAATCTCAAGCAGACTCCCCGCTGAGCCTGAGGCATTAAATCCCACAAACCCTGAGATCATGACCTGAGCCAAAATCAAGAGTCCGAAGCTTAACCAGTGGGGCCACACGCCAGCCACCCCTGTACCTGTGCTTTTAAAGATTAAACATTAAGGGGTGCCTGGCTGGCTCAGTCAGTAGAGCATGCAACTCTTGGTCTCAGGGTTGTGAGTTCGAGCCCCACACTGGGTGTAGAGATTACTTAAAAATAAAAATCTTTAAAAATTAAACATTAGGGGCACCTGGGTGGCTCAGTCGTTAAGTGTCTGCCTTCAGCTCAGGTCATGATCCCAGGGTCCTGGGATCGAGCCCCGCATCGGGCTCCCTGATCCATGGGAAGCCTGCTTCTCCCTCTCCCACTCCCCCTGCTTGTGTTCCCTCTCTCACTGTGTCCCTCTCTGTTAAATAAATAAATAAAATCTTTTAAAAAAATTAAACATTAAATATTGCCAATATAATTATTTTTTAAGAGTAGGTGTTTTTCTGTTTTGTGTTTTTTGTTTTTGAGGTTTTTTTTTAATAAAGATTTTATTTATTTATTTGAGAGAGAAAGAGAGAGCATGAGCAGTGGGGAGGGGAAAATGGAGAGGGAGAAGCAGGCTCCCCATTGAGCGGGGAACTCAAAACCGGACGCAGTCCCAGGACCCCAGGATCATGACCTGAGCTGAAGGCAGATGCTTAACGGACTGAGCCACCCAGGCGCCCTAGAGTAGGTTTTTTTAACCTTGTTGTGGACCTAATGTTTGTGTCCCCCTAGTCCCATCCCAAATTCATATGTTGAAGCCTTAACAACCACTATGATAACATTTGCAGGTGGGGGTAATTAGGTTCAGAGGAGGTCATGAGGGTGGACCCCCCACGATGGGATTAGTGTCCTTTTAAGAACAGAAAGAGAGAGACTAGGACTTTCTCTTTCCATCATGGAGGGACCCAGTGAGAAGGCAGCTGTCTGCAAGCCAGGAAGAGGGCCCTCACCAAAACTCACAATGCCGGCCTTCTGATCTTAGACTTCTAGGCTTCAAAACTATGAGAAAATAAATTCTGCTGTTTAAGGCATTCAGTCTGTGGTAGTTTGTTATGGCAGCCCAAGCTAATACAAACCTCAAATTCTAGCTTTCTCAATTTGAAGTGACACTTAGAAGACAGAAGAAATTAGAGTAATGTTAAGTTGAGAAAAAGTAATTTTTTTAAGGGGGGGGCAAGGGCAGAGAGAGAGGGAGAGAGAATCCCAAGCAGGCTCCATGCCCAGCATGGAGCCCGACTTGGGGCTCGATCTCATGACCCTGAGATCATAACCTGAGCTGAAATCAGGGTCAGGACACTTAACTGACTGAGCCACCTAGGCACCCCTGAGAAAAAGTAATTTTAAAGTGACTGAATAGGAAACTGTGAAGCTGATGATGAACTTATATGGCTACTGAATAGCATTAGAAACAAGGTAGAAGTGTTCAAATAAAGATTTTTAACACTTTCATAATGTGTAAAAACATGAACATCAAAGGAAAGCAACAAACCAGAAAAACAAATGGCCAAGCCTTGCTATATGAAACATAAATTATACAATACCCACTTTCTAGTTGATAAATGGTTAAAACTAGATGAGGCAGTAATTTTGATAATTAATAATATAATAAACAGGCAGTAAATTATTTTATAAAGAAAAAGAGCACAGACCCCCACAGTCATGAAAGATTGAAAGTCAAAGGAAAGAGCTTTAAGCTTTTTTTTTTTTTTTTTTTTTACAACTTTAAGCTATCAAAAATATTTAACTAATAGAGCTAGGTATGTGTATTGCTGATGGTGATACAAAATGTTCTAGCCTCTCTGGAGAACAATCTGGCAATATGTAACAAGAGCTAGGGAACTACTGATGCCTTCTAGGTAAATACATTCTGGGTAATAAGCCATAAGTAAATAGCTCAAATAGACAAAAGTAATTTCCATAATGATATCTAACGCAGAAATAGCATAAAGCAGAAAAACTGAAATCACATAAGCGTGCACAGAAGGAATGGTGAGGCAAACTGGTGTATCACACAGAACTATAGTTGCTATTCAAAGTGTTAGGTGAGATTCTGTAAGCAGAATAACTAAACAGAGCATATGGAAATATCTGTATTTTGAAAATGTGGGGAATGCAGAGAGAAATCATGAATTCTGTTCTTTTTCTATGAAGTTAAAAATAAGGGTTCTGGCCACAGCTTTGGTGTGGCTCTTGAGCCTGTTGTAAAACCACTCTGAGAAGGAGATTGTGGGGGGGAGTGCAATTTAAGGATCAGAGCTTTCCCTCAATGTCTCCAAACCCTCCTGTGATACGACACATTATTTTTTTTAAAGATTTTGAAGTAATCTCTACACCCAATGTGGGGCTCGAACTCACAACCCAGAGATCAAGAGGTGCTTGCTGTACTGACTGAGCCAGCCAGGTGCCCCACGAGACACTTAAAATTTAATTACAGTAATATATAAACTATCATTCTAGGGCAAAGATTATCTCCACACAAATGTCATCTTATCACCCCCACCTTACTAGCTTGTCCCCACAGGTCCTGTTGCTGCACAATGAGCAGCAGAAGGGCAAGGGACACACCCAACGCCCCCTTTGACACTGGCCCATCACCAGGCCTCCTGCCCTAGGCAGCCGTGGGGCCCTGGCCCTGGAAGCAGGAAGCCTTCCAGGTTGAGAGCGAGATTCTGCTGAGCCAGTATACCCTGCGGGGAAAGTCTTTTAAACTTAAGCAGTGTAGATTCTGGGATCCTTCCCATACTCGGCTTTCTCAAACAAGACACCACATGTGTTTGGGGCAGAGTCTCACCTGAGTCCAACTATCCTCTACAACCAAAGTGGAAACTTTCACAAGGGCACCAAAAGTCAAATTTTCTGGATATGAATACATAAACAAGTGAAGATCTCATGAAACTGTGCAGTGTGCTCTTACTTTCCGCAGCACATGTGATGCTTATCAGGCATGGCCAAGCCCAGGACGAGAATGCAGTACTTCTGGGCCAAGTACTTCTGGGCCGCTTCTAACTTACTTATAACCAATTCCATCTCTTTCTTCTCTACAAGGCCCCTGAAAAGAAAATGATCATTTGGGTTCATTTGGGCAAATGCCAATACTAATTAGCAAAAAGTCAGAAGTGTAAACTATTTTGAAAGAAATACAAGTGAGTCAACACATCTCACTTACCTTTTATTCAATTTGAGCTATGGCAAAGGGAGGGCCTCCAAGCCCTTTGATAGTTATCATTGTAATCAGCATCTTGAGTTTACGGTGAATTTTCACTTTATAGATTCTTTGTAGTATGTATCCTTAATTTTACATATAGGCTGTCCTAATTTATATAGGACAGCTCAACTGACAAATGACCTACACTGGTTTCTGAGGCAGCTAGCAGCCCATTTCCCTGCTGTTTTGTTAAAAGAGCTATGGAGACTCTCTCCCTTCAGCTTCCCCTGGGTTCCTGAAGTTACTACTAAATTTGAAGGCCCAATGTTCGACCTTCTCAATGCTTCCCTACTCCCAGTTCTGTGTTGGCTGAGGAAGCACGTGTGGACCACTCATCTGGGAACTTTGGCATCAATTATAATAACCTTGCTTCCCTGCGAAAACACTGCCCCAGCTCCAATCGAATTGCAAATGAACTTTCCAAAAGACAACCTGTTCGCAGGTTACAGCGTGTCTGGAGCCAAATTTTAGAGTTTTTGCAGTACAATATAGTAGGAAAAAATACTGCTAACAATACATTCCAGTGATTGCTATTGAAAAGTGAAGTGTCAGGGCGCCTGGGTGGCTCAGTTGGTTAAGCAACTGCCTTCAGCTCAGGTCATGATCCCAGGGTCCTGGGATCGAGTTCCGCTTCGGGCTCCCTGCTCGGCGGGAAGCCTGCTTCTCCCTCTCCCACTCCCCCTGCTTGTGTTCCCTCTCTTGCTGTCTGTCAAATAAATAAATAAGTCTTAAAAAAAAAAAAGAAAGAAAAGTGAAGTGTCATTGGCTTTTTATCTGCCTTTTAACTTTCAGAAAGATTTAAACCCCATGAAATGCACTTTAAACAACAGGGACAAATTACTCCCCCTTCTGATGTTAACCACTAGAGTGACCACATGAGGATATGCTGTGGAGGAAGGGGTTTAAGGATCATAGAGCTATTTCAAAGCACAAAATGTTATCACATGCGGTGAGAAGGCTTGTGAGTCACTGGAATAAAGTAAGTTTCTGGAATAGATAAAGTGAGTTCCAACTTTAAATGCCCAAATTTCATATAACCCAAACATCTGCATCCATCTGCACCCCAAACCCCATCACTATGCCTGCCTCCCTGTCTCTTTCAGCAACCTCCACCCTCTCTTATTCCTCACCCCTGCGTTGCCAGAGCTGCCAGTAGCTAATACATCTCTTTTGCTGTTGAAGACAAAACAAGGAAAAAATGCCTTGAAACTTTTAGGCCACTGGCTCCTAAGTTTAAATATATGTAAGAATTGGGGCGCCTCGTTGGCTCAGTCGTTAAGTGTCTGCCCAGGGCCCTGGGATCGAGCCCCGCATCAGGGTCCCTGCTCAGCGGGAAGCCTGCTTCTCCCTCTCCCACTCCCTCTGCTTGTGTTCCCTCTTTCGCTGTGTCTCCCTCTCTCAAAGAAATAAAATCTTAAAAATAAATAAATAAATATATGTAAGAATTGCCTGGGATACTCGCTAAAAGTGCAGATTCCTAATGCCACCCCCCTCTCCAAGATCTTGATTCAGTAGGTCTGTGTAGAACCTGCCATTTAAAACAAGTATAATCCTTTGGGGAAAACTTGACAATAATTTCAAGTGCCATACAACTGACCATAAACTTGGGTCCAATAATCTCTCCTGGAAATTTATCCTTCTTAAAAAAAATTATCCAAAATTAAGGGGGAAATCTAATGCATGAAGATAGTCAATAATATTCAGTTATTACCTACTTGTTTATCAGGAAAACTGGCAACTCCCAAAAATATATAAAATGGAGGGGAAAAAGGAGTAGTAATGCAGGCTGTAGTAATACAGCCAAATACTGTTGAAGGACTTGACATTTATTAACTTAACATATGAGTCCCTATAGGATTTATTCCAGCACCAAAGTCCACACTCTTAACCACAGTACGTACCATACTGCCTTTTAATAGGTCAGTCAGTCCATCAACACACATTAGCTTAATAAATGACTTAATAGTCACTGTAAGTAGCTTAGTAATGACTTAATAAGTCAGTCAGTCCATCAACACACATTAGCTTGACGGAAAGTTACGCCACCATTAAAAATAATTATGAAGATGTAATGACTTGAAAAATACTTGTTTTAAAAACTGCATAATTTTGCCTTTGTACAGAAGCTACAAATCCTAATTACAAATGGATAAACTGTATAAGAGGGCTCAGCTGACTGGGACAGGGTGGCGAACATGCTGCACAGAGGCTGAGAGGCTGGGGAGTTAGATGGATCTGGGCACCCATCTCAGCTCCACCACTAACTAGGCAAGTCTTCTCTGGCCAGCTCCTTAACCTGAGCCTTAGCTTCTTCATCTCTAAAATGGGGATAAGGCTTCTTCTTCCGGAATTAGGGCTTTTAATCGTCTAAAACCACCACAGTGTACCTCTGTACCCCTTCCAGCTCTCCTCTCACAAGTTGTAGGCTTTCCTCCCAAGCGGCAACCTCTGCATTAAGATAATATTGATGATCTCATCTAATCTGGATGATAACTCTGTAAAGTAGATACTATTATCTCTGTTCTATCTCACTAGTTTGACTGAAATCAATTTTTTTCTTAAAGTTATTTAAGTCCAGATATCTCAATATAATCTATATTTATTTCTATTAATAAGTACACTAACTGACCACTGGAATCCTGAAAGTGAAACCTTCGTCTTATTATTTTAGAATCACACCATAGGGGGCGCCTGGGTGGCTCAGTCGTTAAGCGTCTGCCTTTGGCTCAGGTCATGATCCCAGAGTCCTGGGATCGAGTCCTGCATTGGGCTCCCTGCTCAGCGGGAAGCCTGCTTCTCCCTCTCCCACTCCCCCTGCTTGTTTGTGTTCCCTCTCTCGCTGTGTCTCTCCCTCAAATAAATAAAATCTTAAAAAAAAAACAACATTCCACAGCAACAAATTGATGACTCTAACAGCATTTCTAACAGCTGAATCACTGGATTGGTTCCACAAGTACCGGGGAGGGCAGCCTGGGCACTTGGAAAGTTCCATGGCTTGCCAAAGGTCACCAAGCCTGAGAGGCATTGTTCTGCTCTGGATTCTGAGTTCCCAGATTCTTGCCCTGTACAGCTGTAAGCCACCTCTGCCTAAAGCAGTTAAATTCTTCCTATGTAGCCTAAGAAATCTTATTTTCTTCTGTGATATGGAATATCATTTTGGTCATATCTATTAATTTTTTTAATTCTTCGTTTTTTTCATTAGATGCTTACAAAAGCCCTAGCGAGAATTTCAGAAGCATAAAAAGCATAGAACCAATATCTATATCTGCACTGTCCAATATGGTAGCCATGAAGCCACATGTGGCTATTGAGTGGTTAGTATGAATTGAGGTATATTGTTAAGTGTAATATAGATATCAGATTTCAAAGACTTACCACCAAAAAAAAAAGTATGTCATCAATAACTTTCTAATATTGACTACATGTTGCAATGACATTTTTGAGTCATTGAATTAAATAAAACACATTATTAAAATTAATTTCACCTTTATCTTTTACATTTTTTTAAATAGAGCTACTGAAAAATTTTAAGTTACCTATGTGGCTCTCATTATATTTCTATTGGGCAGTGCTGGTCTATATTATCTGGAATATTTTGTTGCTAGAAAAACCATTTGAATTATTCAGTGAGCTTTAAAAACTGATGAACTCCTCCCATGTGAAATGTTTGTTTTCATATACTCCCCAAATTTAAAAATTTCCATCATCTCTACCTTAGTTTTCATACTGGCAATAATAAAACTTTAAAGTGCACTACAAAATCCTACTTACACCATATAGCTTTCGGGTTTCTTTTCCAGTGAATTTTTTTCCAAGTAATGAGATAAATAGTACAACAATGCCATGAGGAAATTGTCAAGATTTTTATTCCTAAGGGAAGAATTAAAAAAAAAATAGAAGAAATGAATGCTAACATATTTATTTTTTCTTCAAGATTTTATTTATTTATTTATTTGAGAGAGAGAATGAGAGAGAGAGAGAGAGCATGAGAGGGGGGAGGGTCAGAGGGAGAAGCAGACTCCCCGCTGAGCAGGGAGCCCGATACGGGACTCGATTCTGGGACTCCAGGACCATGACCTGAGCCGAAGGCAGTCGCTTAACCAACTGAGCCACCCAGGCGCCCTATTTTTTCTTCAAATTTTTATTTAAATTCTAATTAGTTAACATATAGTATAAACATATTTCAAGCATAAAACTTTTCATAAGAATATGTGGGCACATGACATAAGAATAAGTAGAAATACACATTATCATGCCTATCACACAATTTACCATTTAAAATTCTACCTACTATACTATCGAAGATGTAAGAAATCTGATTTTTGTAACCAAACTTTTTAGGGGGTCACACACTAAATTACAGGTTTGCTTATCAATTAGTTTTAATTTTTAAGAAGTTTTCATTATACAAATAATATTTTCCATTGTTTAAAAAATGTACACAAATGTGTAAAGTAAAAAGTCCTCTCACTCCTTTGCTACCATCCTACTTCCAAGCGACAGCCACTGCTAAGAGTGGAATGAATCCTTCCTAAATTTTTCAAAGCATAGACAATTACATGTAAGGTCCTCCCCCACCAACGCACATACATATGCATGAATATATGCCTTAAAATTTTCTTCGGTAACAAAGAAGATAATGCATATATATGCAAGTCTTTGCAACTTGCTTTTTTCACTTAGTTGCTTAGAACGGACCTCTTTCCATGATACCATGTATCAATTTTCCTCATCCTTTTAAAAGTTGTATAAAGTTTTCTATATCTCATATTTTATTGAACTAGTCCTCTATTGATGGATAGGTAGTTCTTTTAAAAATACTGTTAACATTGCTGCCATAATTATCCTTGTGGCCACGTCTCTGAGGAACTTCCTAGGAGTGAAATTGCTAGGGCATGGTGTACAGCATATTGAAGTTTCACAGTTTTGCTCTAGGAAAAGGTTGCATTGATTCACAATCCCATCTCATTTCTTTTAAAACTAGAAGCCTTTGTCTTTCTAAGTATTCTTACAAGATTTTTGCTGCTTCCTTTCTAGCAAATGCAAATTCTTACTGACATTCTTTCTTCAACTATACCTTGACAACCGGATGAAGATGAGCATTGCTGATTTTTTTTCCACAATGTTATTAACTACCTGTCCTGGGCTGGGTTCTCTCAGAAACAGACTCTGAGACAAAGATGTGAGATTAAGTAGTTTACTTAGGAAGTGCTCACAGGAAACATGAGTAGCAGGTTGGGGAAGCAAGACAGGAAAGGGGAAGGAAGCCCACACAGCGGGTGTTAACAAGTTCATTATCCCTATGGACAAATGCAGTTCAGTCCTGTGGGGGGCTCCGGGAGACAGTGCAGAAAACTTCTCAGAGTTATCCTGACAGAGGGAAGCTGGGATATCTTTGTACCAACTCTCCCATCTAGCACAACTCTGGCTGAAGGCTGCCTCTGGGACACTGACAGTGCTCCCAGCTTGCCCTGTGGTCAGGCTGAGTGTGCTCCCGCTGTGGAATAAAGCTTCAGGTGCTTGCCACAAGCAGCCTTCGCTGAATGCTGAGGGAATGTGGGAGGGCTGCCAATCTTGGGTACCCAGTTCTCATTGAACACCGACCCGCAGCCAGACCGAGACACAATTACTTCCGATTTTGTATCTGAGGAAACAGGCTTAGAAAAGTCAAGAAGCTTACCCAGAGTCATACACCTAGTACTTGCGGGGGCTCCAAACATGGAGAAAACTGATGTTCAGTAAGTGAGTCTACCCTCTAACCATTATATAAATATAATGTAGTCTTTATGGGACTTTCACAACGTGCTCTCTATACTCCTTGCCCTGGGACTTTGTTCTGGGTTCCTGTGACTTCTGGCTTCCTGTCTTTGGTCTCAGCCTTGGGGACTGAGTCCTGAAGGGATGGCCTGCATGAAGCCAGTCCCATGTCCCTGGCAAAAAACCAGATTTGTCATCATTTATCAGTTAAAATTGCTTCAAATTAAGGATAAAAGGTCTAAAATGTCTCATGAGCATTACATACCTCATAAACGTTGTAAAAGAACAGATCCGCTGCATCTCAGTATCTTGTAGCAAAAACAAAGCAACAACTGAAAGGAGAGAAGATGGACAATTGAGAGACGGACAAAGGGCTGTGTCAGAGATCCACTCTAGATAGGATATGTGAAGATGACCCAACAGTTACTCACATTTAGCATCATGTAGTGTCACGTTGCCCTGCTGACCTCGTTTCTCTAAGGCTTTAGGTGACTTATCGTCTCTTGAAGCAAACTTTTTATCTGTCAACCTATTTTAGAATAGAACAGTCTCTAGTGGTGGTTTGAAAGGTTTCAGTTGTATTTAATTGATCCTGAGGTACATGAGACTTTTACTATAAAGTAAGGAGAGTGTGAGTGTCAAAACCCAAAAATGGGTTTTGTTTAATGGAGGAGAATTCTGGAATGCATTTTATTAAACGTTATATTTACCAGGCTAGGGGTAGGAGAAAAGCCTGATATAAAATGTAAATACCAATTCCATCCAAAACAGATCATTTAAATCACCTATTAATCATCTATTTAGATAATCTATTCATGGTGTAGCTACCATTTTCAGATTTTTAAAAAAAGTATAAAACGTTGAAAATTTGCTATGAGCCAAATTATCACAGGGATACATCTGCAAGGACTATTGTAACACCCCCCATAACTGAGAAACAGTGCATGTTCTTTCCTTAAAAGGTATCTGCATAGGGGCGCCTGGGTGGCTCAGTCGTTAAGCATCTGCCTTCAGCTCAGGTCATGATCCCAGGGTCCTGGGATTGAGCCCCATGTCGGGCTCCCTGCTCCGCGGGAAGCCTGCTTCTCCCTCTCCTGCTCCCCCTGCTTGTGTTCCCTCTCTTGCTGTGTCTCTGTCAAATAAATAAATAAAATCTTAAAAAAAAAAAGAATTTGTGACAACTTGAGCCATTCTGCTGAGAGCGGTCAGCAGCACTGCCACAGTTGGGAAGCAAAGGTACCTGTCTGAAGCGGGGCCGTCAGTTTCAGCAAAGTGTATTGCTTTGCCTTTCTTTCCTTTCTCCTTGAGTTCTATTGCAGGTGTAAAACTGTAATAGAAAGGAGAAAATTAGGACCCTAACCTTTCCCCGGGGGAAGACTGATCCTATCAGGACAGTAGCTCATGGCATCTTAGGACTTGCAGATGTTATGATAGGCACCTGAGGAGAATCTGAGGCACCGTGGTACTCAATTCACATTATTTACATATGGAACAACCATCTAGAAAGAGACGAACGTTTCAGACTTTACGTTCAGCCTCTACGTATCTGCAGTCTCCAGAACACCACCATACACAAAACATTTCCATCTGAAAATGTCATAGTAGCTTCACAAGAAACAGAAAGCTCATGAGAAGTCTGGAGAGATGTTTTTATTTACTGAGCACTTGTTACGTACCAAGTGCTTTTAGGCACAATCTTGTTCAATCACAGTGCCTCTATGAGGAAAATATTACTAGTATGGCCATTTTTACACACGGAAAAACCGAAGCTTAGAAAGAGATAAGTAACATGACCAAGATCACCGAGCCCGTGTCGGAGCCAGGATTGCAGTCCGGGATCTCTCACTGCAGAGCCATGCGCGTACCCACCAGGCAGTCCTGCCTCCTGAGCTGCCATTTTAGTTGTCGCTGCTCTGGACTCTTGACTATCTCATGGAAGGTTTCAGGACCCTTTCTTTAACTCAGGGCTTCTTGAATTCTAAGGTTATACAAACATTTACTAAGCAGTAATGGGGCTAAGAAGGGACCATGACTAAGCAACAAACACACAGATACTGAGGCCATACTCTGTCACACATTGCTCTGACAGGAAAAGAAAATGGTGTCTGTCTGAGTCCATGCACAACCTCTTGGGAATATCAGCAAATGCTTAATAGAAAAGCCAAGAAAGACATTTTGAAGACCAGCAGAATGTGGTTCCTGCCCTTACAGAGAGTACATTTTCTGGGAGAAGTGGGGTGTCTACCAAATACATTGGTTTCGAAGCCCACCGTGGATTATGATTTTCATTTTTTCTGTCTGAAACAATGCCACAGTGATAACACGACCCAGAAGCTTAATTTCTGCCCACAGTTTCATGTCTTTTCCCAAGCTTAAATGCAGGTGTAGTAATAGAAGCACATCCCCCCAGACTTTACTCATTTTCTAAAGATGGATATCAATCATGTCTACTCTCTTCATCTCCTTGCCAACAAAATAGTTTTGTGTATTTTAACAGGTTTTTTTTTTTTGACACAACAGTTTTTGAAACAACTTCCTTTGAAAATTTTCTTTGATTAGTGTTACCCACAAAGTAATCATTTTATTTTTTTTTATTTTTTTTTTTTAAAGATTTTATTTATTTATTTGAGAGAGAGAGAATGAGAGATAGCAGGAGAGGGAACAGGGTCAGAGGGAGAAGCAGACTCCCCACTGAGCAGGGAGCCCGATGTGGGACTCGATCCCGGGACTCCAGGATCATGACCTGAGCCGAAGGCAGTCGCTTAACCAACTGAGCCACCCAGGCGCCCCGAAAGTAATCATTTTAGAGAAATACTTTCCCATGGGAATAATAAAGTTAATCAGTTTGGTTCTTTCTTCCTCCAGTTTTTGCCAACCTCCTAGCAGTATTCGGGTTGTAGAATAAGTTAGCTCCTAAAAGCATGTACATTATGTCACCGCAAGGAAATGATCCTTTGCATTTTTCTACTTTTTTTTTAAGGTCATTGGCACCATGTTGGTCAGTGGATGATTTCTAAGCTTTTCATTCTTTCTGATGCCTCCAAGGATTGGGTATTTAGTGGGGAGAGTATGCTGAAATACTGAGGGGGTGGGTATGCTGAAATACTGAGGGGGTGGGTGGGGAAAAAATAAAGAAATGGAAGAATACCAAATGTTGATGGGGGCTACTGCCAAAGAGAGACTGGGGATCAGATGGGGCAGAGAGGTGAAATGGTGATGAAGAGGTCTATCTTCCAATCTGTGTACTTCCGTTTTGAGGTGTTTCTTTTTAATAATAGGAATATATTGATTTATTTCCTGCATCACTAAGAAAAAGTTGATAGAGACACATAGAAAGAAAACACTATATGGTTGATTATGTTATATTGACAGACCATTTGGACAGCCTTTAACAAAATAATCAAATCTTCCAAACATCCAGACTTTTTTTTTTTTAAGTAGGCTCTACGCCCAGCATGGAGCCCAGTGCACGGCTCAAACTCATGACCCTTAGACCAAGACCCGAGCTGAGATCAAGAGTCAGATGCTTAACTAAGTCCCCCAGGGGCCCCCCAGACATTTTCTAATGGCTCTCTGAAGCCATTTCTCCTTGCTAGATGCCTTGTGCAGATTCCTTCATATAACCACCCAAAAAAAGAACACAAAGTTGTTTTCACATTTCTTCTTGGATCATCACACTGTTTTGGCCACTTATGAGCCACTGGCTGTTAACTTTCCTACCCCAGGCTAAGGAAGTCACAGGTCACCAGCTCTCCCAGGATTTCTCTTCTCTAGAAGATAGATACACCCAATCTCAGTGACTGTCAAATGAAATTGCTGTCTCCTACCCTTTTCTCAGTCCTATCCCTATCATTCAAAGTGTCTTGCCCTATTTGCCTGAGATGATTTGAGATGAGAGAGCCTTAAAATAAGACACTAAGTGCCTGTCCTTAGCCAATAGCCTGACATTTACTGCTAAGCTTCTAGTCCTTATTCTCTGACCTTCAGACATGCCTTCTCTACTTCCCACTATTCTGAGTGGCTGTTCCCTTGAGTAAAGTCATTTTCTAGCTTGTCTGGTGAGAAGGATTTCTCCCTGTGAGTGCCCTGCTATAGCTCTACAGGCAGACTATGCTCACAGTGCATTTGAAATCACTACAAAGCATCACTAGTAGTAACTGAAAGCTAGAATCATACCTCTGATTGGCTCCCAAACTGCAGGCTGAACTAGTTCTGTGCCCTCCTGCAGTCTCCGCCATTTCCCCCTCCATTTGGCAACCCCTTTAGAATCTGGGCCTTTCTCAGACCACGTTTTGTTACATTCCCAGTATTACAACATAATCATGTCATTTCCCTTTGCCCTGAAATAAATGAGGAAAAGAATCATATTTTCCCCTAGAACGATCCCTAAAATGCAGAGGGCTGGACCACTCTTGGCTTCCACACAAATTAGAGCTCCTCAGTGGTCATTAGAGTCTTCTCTCAGGCCCCGAGGAAAGACAAGAGGAGTGTGGGGCTTCTGGAGGTTGAGTTTCCTCAGCTGTATATCCCCAGGGGAGTCAATGACCTTGGCAAAGACTCAGGCGGGCTGCTGACTCTCTCCCAGCTGTGAGGAGGGCCTCTTGAAACAAGAAAGGGTAGGGCAGCTGACACTGTGTCAGAGGGAAGCCTGCCTCATGGGCCAACCCAGAGGTGGCCTGTGAAGAAAGGTATTCCCTCTTTAACAAACAAGAAATGGACATGCATGCTGGTGAATTATGCAACACCCTCATTTATGCCTCACAAAGCATTATTATTCCATTTTACAGATGAGGGAACTGATCATGACAAATATAACCACCTAGTCAGTGAGAGACATAGGCTTTGAACCCTAGGTCTTTGAACTTTCAGGCCCCCCTTCAAAGTCTCTTCCTTAACTGCCTATTAAGAAATAATGACCATCCTTTCCTGCCCATTAGTGTGTGTCCACTTCTTCTGTGGAGGTTATGGGCATCTTATATTCTGATACAGTTATCCGTCTCAGGGTATAATCTGCAAATATAAGGCAAGATCTGCCTGTGACATAGGGAGCTAGGTCTTCTCTAAAAGGTAAGATTTCCATTGTCACTCATTCAGGAAAGAGGTGAAGGCCTGAAAGGCTGGAAAGAGGAAAGGGATCCTCTTCTCTGAACTCAAGAATACCTAGAAGTCTGTGAACTCCCATTTGCTAGTGGGTGTAAAAGGGGGCCTACGCCATGTGAAAGAGGACTAAAACCCCAGGAGGGATTCCCAGGGCTTGAAATTGACGGGTTGACACCGAATGCCCCTGAGATCAAGCTGTTACTTTGCAAAAGCAAATTATTTGGATTCATAACACTTCAAATTTTCTTCCCCACTGCTGGCTGTTCTTTCTTTAGTCTCCTTTTAAAGCTCCTTTTCCTTTTCCTGGACATGTTCCCTAAATGAGAGCCTTTCTCAGGGTTCCATCTCGCTCCTCTTCTCACTTCCCCTGAGTAATCCCATCTAGTCCACTAACATCGATTACCTACAACTTTATAGTGAAGGTTCAGCTCTTTCTGCAAACTTATAAAATGATACACCTGCCTACTGGACACCTTCGCTTGGGCCTCCTACAGACATCTGAAACTCAGGATGAGCTGAACTCATTCCCCTTTAACTTGTACTCCCTACTACTCCCCCATCTTGGCAAACGGGCACCACCACCCACCAGGTGGCCAAGCCGCAAAATGGTGTCATCCTTGGTTTCTCCATCACCTGTGGCCCTTGCAGCCCACTAACCACTTAATCCTTAAATACATCTCAAATTTGTCTACTTCCCTCTCTTCCCATTGCCACCTTCCTAATTTTAGCCACCATCATCTGTCAACAGAATGTCTGCAACTGCTTTTTTTTTTTTAAGATTTTTATTTATTTATTCATGAGAGACAGAGAGAGAGAGAGGCAGAGGGAGAAGCAGGCTCCCCAAAGAGCAGGGAGCCCAATTCGGGACTCGATCCCAGGACCCCGGGATCATGACCCGAGCTGAAGGCAGATGCTCAACCATCTGAGCCACCCAGGCGCCCTGCAACTACTTCTTAACTGATCTCCTGCTCCCAGGGAGTCTGCTTAAGATTCTCTCTCTCCCTCTCCTCCCCTCCCCCTGCTCGCACACACACTCTCTCAAAAGTAAATCTTTAAAAAATATATTAAAAAGTTTTAAAAATTAAAAAAAAAAAAAACCCTTCCAGCGGCTCCCCTGTGAGGTTCAGATTCCTCAACATTGCATGCAAGACCTTTCATGATCTTACCCTGGTTTAAGTCTTCTACTCACACCCGTCTGGAACCCTATATCCAGCTTCCTGAACTGCC